CACATGGGTTGATGATATGGGATGATGATATGGCACATGGGATGATGATATGGCACATGGAATGATGGTATGGCACATGGAATGATGGTATGGCACATGGGATGATGATATGGCACATGGAATGATGGTATGGCACATGGGATGATGATATGGCACATGGGATGCTGACACTGCACCTGCATGCCACCTCACCTCCACTCATCAAACACAGTGTTCGCCCTCCTTCGGCCATCCAGCTATCACCTACCTCCACTGCTTCGCCCCTGGGAAGAGGGGGATGGGGAAGTGGGCTTAAGAGAATGTGAACTAGAAGGGTGGCGAGATGGGCGGAGATGTGAAATGGATGAGGGGAATGGGAGAATGGGATGAGGGGAATAGGTCAAGGGGCAGACGGGAATGGGGAAGGGGCGGAGGGGAATGGGAAAACAGGAATAAGGGAACGGGGGAAATGGGATGAGGATGGGGAATGCGGCAGATGGGGGTAGGGAAGTTGGATGAGGGGGATGGGGAAAGGGCAGAGGGGAGTGGGGAGGTGGGTTGAGGGGATCGGGAAAATGTGTAGCTGGGAAATGGGGTGAGGGGAATGGGGAATGGGAGAGGAGAATGGAAAATGGGGAGAGGGGAATGGGAAATCGACAGAGGGGAATGAAAAATCGGGAGAACTATGCCGATTGAAACGCATGGGGCACCAAAAAAGGAGATCAACGGAAAAAGTGTCTAGGCATTTGTGGCGGCTTGACACGCGACACCATGGCATGGCTGAATAACGTGTCAATACTAAGCACACTAACCTGCGAGGTCAGTCCAGGGGTCGCTTGGTGCAGGGAAAGCTTAAAGCTTTTCTTCCTCTGCGAGGCGCGAGATATTTCGAGTCCATAGAGGATAATAGTCCACGTGTCGATGGACGCACGGGAAGCGAAGGACTTCTTTTCTTCCTCTGCGTTTGTGTTCTAGAGGGATAGAGAGACATAGGAACAGAGGGACGAGGGGAGGAGGGAACGTAATTTCTGGAGACGGCACGAAATTGCGGTGAGGGTGGGATGGTAGTGACGCATACCAAAGAAGAAAGGGCAGGGACAGAGGTGCGTTGTTAACCACACTCTTGCCACCTATTATGACATGTCTGCGCGTCGAGCTACCTACGAATGACAAGCGCACGCGCCCATTGAGTATCGGTAAGGCGCGGCGCGAAGCTGTGGAGGGATGGGAGAAGAGAAGGCAATGGAGAGAAGGGGATGGGATCATGGGAGACAGGGGGGAGTGGAGTGGGGTGAGGTTGGAGGTGAGCAAGGGATTGGATGAAAGAAGTTGTCGCACGTATTCGCGAACATCATTCATCACGTTGTTGATTCGTGACAACCCGACAACACGAATTCTCGCACTGCTGGGCCTTCGCGCACGTGCCTCGCTCTGAAACCCAACCAAGCCGTTCAAGGAGTACGAGAAAACGAAGAACCTGGTAACTAGCCGTAGTAGCAGAAAAGCGGAATTCGCCGATGAGCGCGAAATGGTCCTTCCCCTCGAACAACCAAATCAAAAAGCCGCTACCCAGAATGCCAAGGCGCGGGAAATCGTTTCTCGTTGCGCCAAGCCCATGAATGTGAGAACTAGCCGTTACGGTTTTGCGCTGCAGAGAAACAAGGCGAGATGCAATGCAATTAAATACAAAAGACTCGAGAAGGCTCTAGTTCGATCGCTCGTGCTCCACCAGAAGCATTGAACGCAGTCTGAGCGCTCATAAATCGGACGTAGCTAGAGCTGAGACTAACAGCTAACGTTGAGCAGAAACAACGCTTTCTATAGTTTCTTTGTCCTTTTAGCGACACCCAGATCTCCCTGCCTCTTACGAGTTTAGTTCAGTCTTAACATAGTGTTGCTGAATTATTTGAGCAATGTCTTGGTCTGGAAGAGATCCAGCGTCAAGGACCTGGGTTCGTGACCAATGGGCCTCGTCTCGGCGTAGTTTCATGTCGCCGCGACCATCGTTAGATCTACTATCAGACGACCTCATTTGCCACATTTTCCGTTTGTTGAACCAGCCATCTCTCAACCACGCTGTAGTTTGCAAGCGATGGCTCCATCTTGCTTGTCTCACGCAAACGGTCGTCTCGAATGTTTCTGGTCGCCTTACCGAAACCGGCCGCCTTCTTCGATCCTTGTCGCGGTTCCAGGAACTGGCTTCGCTTACGATTGACAGACGCAGGATCAGCGATTTTAGTGACGAGTTCCTCATCGGCCTTGGTGCTGCCTGTCCGAGGTTAACATACTTTGACCTCCGCGAATCTTCGCCCGTCTCGTTCTCTTGGAGTCCAGCGCCAGGCACGAGTCCTACGGAAGCAGGGTTGGATGCACTGTTCACCGCTTGCACTGGCTTGCAGCAACTTTTTTTGCAGTTTCGTGGAGGCATTGAAAATATGCCATCATCCTTCTTTTTCCTATCCTTGACAGAGGTACATCTCAACGTTGAAATTGTCAACTTCCCTGAACAGTTCGACAAGCTTATTCTCCTTAAGACCATGACGCTTACGAACCTGTACTGTCTTGAACTTCCAGCTTCCTTTGGCCGGCTGACTGGACTGACCGAGCTGCAGCTGTTGGGGCTTGATGCCCTTGACCATTTGCCTGACTCTATTGGTGGCCTTTCCTCGCTAGCTAGACTCAGCATTCATAGCATGGAAAGTTTGGTTGACATTCCTGACACCATCAGCCAGCTTCAGAATCTTCAAGAGTTTCACCTGAAATACACCACATACATCGGCGATCTTCCAGATTCCTTCTATCATCTTCCTTCTCTACGGATCCTTGTGCTGCGAAAATGTGAATCCTTTTCGTCCCTTCCAAACGCGGTTTCTTCTCTCACTTCGCTCGAGGAACTCACCATTCACAATTGCAGGAAGTTTTGTTGGCTTTCTGACTCCATGAGCAACCTTTCTAACCTCCGTCGCATGGTGATTAAAAGGTGCAGATTGCTTGATCTTCTCCCGGACAGCATTGGTCTCCTGCCGTCTCTGGAGCATTTGGAGCTGTGCAAGCTGAGACATCTTGCTAACCTTCCAGATTCAATTTCAGGATTGACCACTCTTCGGACTTTCTCCTTAAAGCGGTGCAACAACATCAGGAAAGTCAGCCCATCACTATTCCAGCACTGCAGCAGCCTCAGGACACTCGAGTTTGGTTGGCCAACCAGCTGCAAGGTCAGAGACAAGGCTGGTCGGGTGCATCTCACCAAAGACTTCATAGCATCCATTTGCCAGCTCCCCAGACTCTCGACCATCTACCTGTTCGGCTTTCCTTGCCTTTCTGAACTTCCGCAGCAGATTGGAAACCTCTCACGCTTGAAACAGTTGACATTGTCTTCCTGGCCGAATCTGCGATCCTTGCCAGAATCCATGGCCAGACTCAGTAACCTCAAGTCGTTCGTGATCATCGCGTGCCCGGGCTTGTACGGGAGAAATGTGTTTCGAGATTGTCACCAGACCGCGAGAGTGTTGGCAGGCAATCGCAATGAATTGACGGGATTGGAGCAGACAAGTGAGATTTGGAGGGCGCTCAACATTCACTTCGAGATGCTACCCCATCAAAGGGTTGGACCTTCGTGGTTTGAAGGGGACGAAGCGTATTCGTACTCCAATAGTAGTGCGGATAACACATGGTTGGATTAGAGCCTCTAGTGGAGGAATCACGACCGCACAGCTGGGCAGGGGGGACCATATGTGGTGACAGCAAGAGAGCGTAATGGTGCGGACTTCAGAAGCTGACAGACCATACTGCGTTTGACATTAGCAACGATGTGCCAATCATGGTGAGTTTCGTTTTGTGGGTTTTATGTAATTTGTGGTTTTATGTCATGGCGTCTTTCAGTCTGTTCCACTTTTGCTTGCAGAACCTTGATTCTGTTCCCTGAATTTCCTGCAGCACCTGGTTCCGTTGTTTTGCCAGCCACCATTTACCCCATGTTAGGATGCCGCAGTAATCCAGAGAAAGCAGAAAAGCTGCAGCGACTGTGTGGTATTACAATTCTCACAAGCATTCTCCCTTCCTTCTTTCCCTCCCCACTTTCTCAAACTCTTGGCCTCATCTTTCATCCCTCTCGCCCTCTCCCTTCCCGGTCGTCTGCCTGCTTACATTTCTCCCTGTCCTCACTCCCAGTCTCCTCCCTGGTCTCCTCCGTGCCACCCTCCATCACTCATTCAAGTCTCCCTTCTTCTGCCGCTTGTCTCTATCTTTCTTTTTACCAGGATATCGCATCTCACAGGCAGCATAAGATGAGCCTTTCTGGCACGGGAAGGGCCTGTGTCATCTCCTTGTGCAACTCAAGTATTGAAAGTACTGCTTTTAGGAAGCTGTGCCTTCCAAACTGGGAAATATTAGTAACATAATGCATTCTTCAACAGTCATGCAAACAACCCTGGGCAGCCTACTGGATGACTCTCTGTCGTGTTCAAAATCAAAACCATTTTGTTAAGCCCAACTTATGCTGTTTTGTGTCATGTACATGGTTTTATATCCAGCATCGGATGCAATCTTTCGATTACGGTGACGGTTTCCTTCGTTGGACTCGACACAATGCTCTCGATAACACGTGGAGAGCATGCTTCAACAAAGCTTTGTCACTGGGCCAGAGTGGACCTTAGTTGTGACGATTCACCAACGTGGCTCACCTCGCTGGATGCCTGCTGTGCCGGCAATCTGGGCAATCCTCGGTGGAGTGGAGACAAATTCCTTGACTTGACGGAAATTCTGCAGCAACTGCGACACCAAGTCCAGCCATGGCCAAACAACTGCTTTCAGTTTCATCTTCACTTTTGCTTCTTGCAACCACTGCGGCTACACGTTCCAAGCAGAGCGAGCTTCGTCTGCTCCGCGGACCGAGATTGTCTCGTTCTCGTGTTGAAAAGCACCCTAGCGGCGTGATTTCCGTCTCGTCTAGCAGTTCTAGTTGTCGTTCTGCAAGCACGTTCGCGTCCGCGATAAGATCGATCGCGGTAGACCCGTCAGCCATGCCAACTGCAGCAGCAGAAGGTTCCAGCGAAGGGTCGTTCGGAAGCAAAGAGGCGGCGGAACTCGTCGCTAGCGTGCGAGATGTGTTTCGCAGCGGTCGCACGCGATCTCGCGAATGGCGGGAGACGCAGCTGCGAGGGATCGAGCGGCTGATGATGGACGAGGAGGAGGCGATCTTCGCAGCGCTCGCGAAAGACCTCAAGCGAAGCCGCGTCGAAAACGTCCTCTGCGAGGTTAGCGAAATAGCGGTTGGCGATGAATTCGCCTGCATTCCTAATCGAAGCGACGGTTATTGGTTTGTAAGGATCGCACCAATCACACTTGCCGCGTTGAAAATTGAGGAGGGAAAACAGCTCAAGGCAATTACGCTGGTTCAAGTAAGAGGCGGCGGCACAGAATGAATCGTTTTCAAGCCAATTGGCTCTGATTGGTTCTGATTGGCGTTTGTGGGGAGAGAAGGACCCGAGATGCATCGAAAGAGGCGTCGCAGCCTGCCCTTCGAGGGGGGGAGGGGAGTTCCCAGCAGGCACGCACGAGCATGATGACAGGTGTTATTCATTCGTGTGGCCAACCATTCCTCGCCCCCACTCGCCTCGCCTCGCGTATTCGCGCCGCTCCGCGGGTCGGCTGTCTTTCCTTTCCTGTCCTGTCAATGTGTGTGTGCGCATGGAAGGCTCCGAGCCTGCGTTGCTGAGAAGAGCGTCCGCTCGTGCCCAGTTCCCCTCTCACTTGCCCTGCTCGCCCCTCTCATGTCTTCTTGCTGGCGTACATATGCACACGCACAAGCACAAGCACATATCCACCTCACACGCACCCACCTCACACCCACCCACCTCATACCCACCCACCTCACACCCACTCACCACACACCACCCACTCGCACACCCACCCACCCACACTCGTTGGTGTGGCAGACGGCGCAGGTGTACAGCTCAGCAAGGCAGATTTTTTAGTCGCCTCAAACCTCGTGCCCGGTTCCCCGCTCACTTGTCTCACCCTCAAACCCCTCCCACCCACCCACCCACACTCGTTGGTGTGGCAGACAGCGCAGGTGTACAACTCAGCAAGGCAGGCTGCGAGTAGCGTGCGGCAGTGGATGAAGCCTGAACGGGTGAGCTCAGCTGTCCGTTAAGGCTTTTTAGAACTGTGCAGGTGTGCTGATGCGAGCGGCAGACGGTGCAGGTGTGCCTGTAGCAAGGCAGGCCGCCGGGGCCGACTGGCTCACTCTGTGTGTGCCACTTGTCCTTGTCCTCATTTTTTCCACTTTTCCAAACCACCTCGGCTGCTGTTATCCTGTCTTCTCCTAGGAGCGTCAAGTTGCCTTGAGCATTGCAGGAGTCATCACGTGGGGCAGTTCCTTGCAGAATTGCTCCCACTTGCCTCTGTGTGCATGCCATGCCATGCCATGCCATGTTTCTCCTCTGCACTGTGCCTTCCGCTCAATTTCAACTCTTCCCACCTCGTTGCCTGCATGCTTGCACTGCACCCACATCTCCCCCGGCTCTGCCAATCCGAGCCTGCCAGGTGTCCACCAACTTTGTCAACATACCAGCGCGCAGTGAGATCGTCCCGGAGCCCTTTGGAGCCGTGCTCATCTTTGCCGCCTGGAACATGCCCTTCTGTGAGCCATGCCTTTCGCCCTGCTTCTTACCAACATGCCCTTCTGTGAGCCATGCCTCTCGCCCTGCTTCTTACCAACATGCCCTTCTGTGAGCCATGCCTCTCGCCCTGCTTCTTACCAACATGCCCTTCTGTAAGCCATGCCTCTCGCCCTGCTTCTTACCAACATGCCCTTCTGTAAGCCATGCCTCTCGCCCTGCTTCTTACCAACATGCCCTTCTGTAAGCCATGCCTCTCGCCCTGCTTCTTACCAACATGCCCTTCTGTAAGCCATGCCTCTCGCCCTGCTTCTTACCAACATGCCCTTCTGTGAGCCATGCCTCTCGCCCTGCTTCTTACCAACATGCCCTTCTGTGAGCCATGCCTCTCGCCCTGCTTCTTACCAACATGCCCTTCTGTGAGCCATGCCTCTCGCCCTGCTTCTTACCAACATGCCCTTCTGTAAGCCATGCCTCTCGCCCTGCTTCTTACCAACATGCCCTTCTGTGAGCCATGCCTCTCGCCCTGCTTCTTACCAACATGCCCTTCTGTGAGCCATGCCTCTCGCCCTGCTTCTTACCAACATGCCCTTCTGTGAGCCATGCCTCTCGCCCTGCTTCTTACCAACATGCCCTTCTGTAAGCCATGCCTCTCGCCCTGCTTCTTACCAACATGCCCTTCTGTAAGCCATGCCTCTCGCCCTGCTTCTTACCAACATGCCCTTCTGTAAGCCATGCCTCTCGCCCTGCTTCTTACCAACATGCCCTTCTGTAAGCCATGCCTCTCGCCCTGCTTCTTACCAACATGCCCTTCTGTGAGCCATGCCTCTCGCCCTGCTTCTTACCAACATGCCCTTCTGTGAGCCATGCCTCTCGCCCTGCTTCTTACCAACATGCCCTTCTGTAAGCCATGCCTCTCGCCCTGCTTCTTACCAACATGCCCTTCTGTGAGCCATGCCTCTCGCCCTGCTTCTTACCAACATGCCCTTCTGTGAGCCATGCCTCTCGCCCTGCTTCTTACCAACATGCCCTTCTGTGAGCCATGCCTCTCGCCCTGCTTCTTACCAACATGCCCTTCTGTGAGCCATGCCTCTCGCCCTGCTTCTTACCAACATGCCCTTCTGTGAGCCATGCCTCTCGCCCTGCTTCTTACCAACATGCCCTTCTGTGAGCCATGCCTCTCGCCCTGCTTCTTACCAACATGCCCTTTTGTAAGCCATGCCTCTCGCCCTGCTTCTTACCAACATGCCCTTCTGTAAGCCATGCCTCTCGCCCTGCTTCTTACCAACATGCCCTTCTGTGAGCCATGCCTCTCGCCCTGCTTCTTACCAACATGCCCTTCTGTGAGCCATGCCTCTCGCCCTGCTTCTTACCAACATGCCCTTCTGTGAGCCATGCCTCTCGCCCTGCTTCTTACCAACATGCCCTTCTGTGAGCGAGCCACTCCTCTTGCCCTTCATCTACTATGGGAACATGCCCTTCTGTGACTCACTGCCTTTCGGAGCCGTCTGTATCTTTGCTGCCGGGATCATGCTCTTCTGTAAGTGATGGCTGTGCGTCATACCCTTCCATGACCCATACCCTTCCATACCGGTGCTCTCACTGGACCTGCTCATTGGAGCCATAGCAGCAGGCGACGTGGCGGTGCTCAAGCCCTCTGACCTGGCTATGAAAGGCTCAGCTTGCTCTAGCTCCTCTAACTCGCCCCTCACTTCCCTCTCCCCCTCCATCCCCCCGGTGCTCTCATTAGACCCGCTCATCGGAGCCATAGCAGTGGGCAACGCGGCAGTGCTCAAGCCGTCTGACCTGTGAAGGCTGAACATGCTCTCTTCCCTCCTCATGTACCAATCCCCTTCCCCCCACCCTTCTCAGTGCTCTCACTAGATCCATTGATAGGAGCCATAGCAGCAGGCAACGTGGCAGTGCTCAAGCCCTCTGAGCTGCCTAGTTGAGGCTTCATCTTCCCACCCGGGTCCCCACCCACTTCTCTCCCATGCCCCTCCTCTACCCCGTGTGCGCACACCAGTGCTCTCACTGGATCCATTGATAGGAGCCCTAGCAGCGGGCAACGTGGCAGTGCTCAAGCCAACTGAGCTGGGTCTCCAAGGCTTGACTTGCTCTCTCTTCCCTCTTTCACCGCCGTTCCCCGCCCTTCATCCTTCTCAGTGCTCTCACTGGACCCGCTCATCGGAGCCCTAGCAGCGGGCAACGTGGCAGTGCTCAAGCCAACTGAGCTGGGTCTCCAAGGCTTGACTTGCTCTCTCTTCCCTCTTTCACCGCCGTTCCCCGCCCTTCATCCTTCTCAGTGCTCTCACTGGACCCGCTCATCGGAGCCCTAGCAGCGGGCAACGTGGCAGTGCTCAAGCCAACTGAGCTGGGTCTCCAAGGCTTGACTTGCTCTCTCTTCCCTCTTTCACCGCCGTTCCCCGCCCTTCATCCTTCTCAGTGCTCTCACTGGACCCGCTCATCGGAGCCCTAGCAGCGGGCAACGTGGCAGTGCTCAAGCCAACTGAGCTGGGTCTCCAAGGCTTGACTTGCTCTCTCTTCCCTCTTTCACCGCCGTTCCCCGCCCTTCATCCTTCTCAGTGCTCTCACTGGACCCGCTCATCGGAGCCCTAGCAGCGGGCAACGTGGCAGTGCTCAAGCCCTCTGAGCTGGCGCCTGCGTCGTCCGCCTTGCTGGCGGAGCTGCTGCCACGCTACGTGGACAAGGAGGCCGTGCGCGTGGTGCAGGGCGGTGCTGACGTGGCAACCGCCCTACTGGAGTGCCGATGGGATAAGATCTTCTTCACAGGTGTGATGCTGCTGACAGACAAACTGACACGTGTGATGGGCGGGCAGATAATTGGATTGGATTGGATGGATGGATGAGTCATGAGGGTGCGTCTGGCATGTGTGCTGCTGTGCGGATGCTGCTGTGTGCTGCTGTGCGGATGCTGCTGTGTGCTGCTGTGCGGATGCTGCTGTGTGCTGCTGTGCGGATGCTGCTGTGTGCTGCTGTGCGGATGCTGCTGTGTGCTGCTGTGCGGATGCTGCTGTGTGCTGCTGTGCGGATGCTGCTGTGTGCTGCTGTGCGGATGCTGCTGTGTGCTGCTGTGTGCTGCTGTGCGGATGCTGCTGTGTGCTGCTGTGCGGATGCTGCTGTGTGCTGCTGTGCGGATGCTGCTGTGTGCTGCTGTGCGGATGCTGCTGTGTGCTGCTGTGCGGATGCTGCTGTGTGCTGCTGTGCGGATGCTGCTGTGTGCTGCTGTGCGGATGCTGCTGTGTGCTGCTGTGTGGATGTGGGCCTTTGACTTGTATGCTGCATGTGAGCTGCACTTGGCTACGTGATCTTCTCTCCCCTGCCTGCCTGCCTTTCGCTCCTCTCCCCTCCACCCCTTCCTCCTTCCTCGCCCCAGGAGGAGCGTCCATAGGCTGGAGGGTGCTGGCAGCAGCAGCGCAGCATCTCACCACCTGCGCACCAGTGGTGCTGGAGCTGGGGGGGAAGAAATTCGCTCACATCGATGTCTCCTTTCTTTCTCCTCTCCTCCCCTCTTCCTCCCACCACCCCCGTCTCCCCTCGCTCCAGGAGGAGCAGCGATCGGGAGGCGGGTGCTGGCAGCAGCGGCGCAGCATCTCACCACCTGCGCACCAGTGGCGCTGGAGCTGGGGGGGAAGAACCCCGCCTATATTGACGCCTCCTCTTCTCTTTCTCCCCGCCACCCCCATCTCCCCTTTCCCCAGGAGGAGCGTCCATAGGGAAGAAGGTGCTGGCAGCAGCGGCGCAGCACCTCACGCCAGTGGCACTGGAGCTGGGGGGGAAGAACCCCGCCTATTTTGATGTCAGTTTTTCCTCTACTCCTCTGGCCATCGTCGCATGATGCTTTGTGTTGTGAACCCTGGTTTGCCTGAACCCGACTTTCTCGCTGAAGCTGGGGGGGGATTGGGATGAGAGACGGAAAACTTCACGATTTTCAGATTTCGTTTCGCGCCTTGTGCTTTCAGTGGCGTCACATCCCTTTTTGTGTTGCTGAGGACAGGATAAGTCCCCCCGCCAACCTGGGGAAGAGCCCTGCATACATCGACAGTACATCTTACGCTCTCTCTCACTCTGCTACTCTTGCATGACTTTGTTTTGATGCCACCCGCCTGCACTTTTGTGGCCTCTCCCCTTGGCTGCGCCAACTCTCCTGTACCCAGCGCCGTCGTAGTCGTTCGTTCTCTTCTCCCCCCTTCCCCTCCCATCAACCCCGCCTCCCTCCAGTCCAGTTCTGACCCCTGTTCCCTCACCCGCCAGCTTCTGCTCCCCCCGTGCAACTCCCCTACCCCGTGCGTCAGATCTGTGTGAAGCGGGCAGCGGTCGGCATGTGTGTGAATGCGGGGCAGAGCTGCCGACCGCTGCCCGCTTCAATCGTCTTCTTACCTGCAACCCAATCCACCATCCACCGTCCCCCCTCCCCTGTGCAACTGGCCCCCTGCTCCCCCCCCCCCCCCCTTTTTTCGTGCACGTCAGATCTGTGTGAAGCGGATAGCGTTCGGCATGTGTGTGAATGCGGGGCAGAGCTGCCTCTCGCCTGACTACGTGCTGGTCGAGGAGTCTGTGGCTGACCAATTCGTGAGTGCCTGCCGTGCATGAGATGAGACTGGGTGGTGGTAGCAGTGTGTAACAAGTCAAGTGAACGCGGGGCAGAGCTGCCTCTCACCCGACTACGTGCTGGTCGAGGAGGCAGTGGCTGATCAGTTTGTGAGTCGCGGTGCATGGGAGTGGGTGGGAGAGAGTAGCAATGTGTGCCAAGTCAAGTCAAGTCAAGTCAATTCAGCTCAAGCTGACTCTTACGATTGGGCCTATTCTTATCCCCATGGCTGTGACACTCCCTCTGCACCCGTTGTTGGGTTCCCTTATCCATTCTGCATCCAGCCATCCAGACACAAGCACTCACTTCCATCCCCCTGCATCCACCGTCAGCCTCGCCTCCTCATGTGTTCCCGACCCCCAGTCTTCAAATCCTCGAATTTTCCATCTCCCCAATTTCCCAATACCCACTTCCCCAATTCCCCAGTTCCCAGAGAAATTATCTAACAGCACATGCCCCCCTTTCCGCCCTTGCATCCACCACCCCTTTCTCCCCACCCCCGCCCACCAGACCGACCACCTGCGTCGCACCCTGACCTCCTTCTACGGCTCGGATCCGAAGCAGAGTCCGGACCTGGCGCGCATCGCCACGCCTGGCAGCTGGGCTCGGTTGCACGCTCTGCTCTCCGATCCAGTTACCAAGGAGCACATAGTCGTTGGAGGGGAGACGGATGAGGCTACCCGGTATGTGCATGACTGTGAGGGGAAGGTGCCACTAGTGGAGGGAGGGTGGGGGGAGAGGATAAAGGTGTAAGGGAAATGGTCCGGCTGGGCTCGGCTGCACGCTCTGCTGTCTGCTGACCCTGACCCTGTTACCAAGGAGCGAATAGTCGCTGGGGGAGAGACGGATGAGGCCACCCAGTGTGTGCATGACTTTGAGGGGAAGGTGGCACTAGTGGGAGGGAATGCAGGGGGATGGATGGGGGCACATTGCCACGCCTGGCAGCTGGGCACGGCTGCACGCACTGCTGATTGACCCAGTGACCAAGGAGCGCATAGTCGCTGGGGGAGAGTCGGATGAGGCTACCCGGTATGTGCATGACTGTGAGGGGAAGGTGGCACTAGTGGGAGGGAATACAGGGGGATGGATGGGGGCACATTGCCACGCCTGGCAGCTGGGCACGGCTGCACGCACTGCTGATTGACCCAGTGACCAAGGAGCGCATAGTCGCTGGGGGAGAGTCGGATGAGGCTACCCGGTATGTGCATGACTGTGAGGGGAAGGTGGCACTAGTGGGAGGGAATGCAGGGGGATGGATGGGGGCACATTGCCACGCCTGGCAGCTGGGCACGGCTGCACGCACTGCTGATTGACCCTGTGACCAAGGAGCGCATAGTCGCTGGGGGAGAGTCGGATGAGGCCACTCGGTATGTGCATGACCTTGAGGGGCAGGTGGAACTAGCGGGAGGGAATACAGGGGGATGGATGGGCGCGCATTGCCACACCTGGCCGCTGAGCTCGGCTGCACGCAGTGCTGTCTGGCCCGGTCACAAGGGAGCACATAGTCGTGGGAGGGGAGACGGATGGGGCAACACGGTGCGTGTATGACTGTAAGGGGAAGTGGGGTTAGTAGATAATGGGGACGTATGAAGGGGGTTCATGGGGGTGGCAAGACAGCACACGGCTGGGCTCGGCTGCACGGCTTGCTGTCTGACTGGCCACGGGGAGCACATAGTCGTTGGGGGGGAGACGAACGAGGCCACCCGGTGCGTGTGTGTGTGTTCGGGCTAGTGGGGGGAGGGTGTTAAAGGTGTGAGGAAACGAGGCCAGCTGGGCTCGCTTGCACGGCTTGATGTCCGACCCGGCCACGCGGGAGCACATAGTCGTTGGGGGGGAGACGGGCGAGGCCACCCGGTGTGTGGGTGCATTTAGGATAGTGGGGGGAGGAGATTAAGGTGTAAGCGACATGGGCCAGCTGGGCTCGGCTGCATGCTCTGCTGTTCGACCCTGTCATGAGGGAACGCACAGTCGTGGGAGGGGAGACGGGAGACTGAAGAGGCTGCCCGGTGCGTGCGTGTGTGCATGCGGGCTAGTGGGGGGGGAAGGAGGGGGTGATAAAGGTGCAAGGCGCATGTGCCAGCTGGGCGCGGCTGCACGCGTTGCTGACGGTTCCAATCACACAGGAGCACATAGTTGATATCTGAGTCGACTTCGTAATCACCTTCTGCTGACGGATCGGATCACACAGGAGCACATGGCTGATTTCTGAGTCGAGTCCGAAATCAACTAGGTGTTCCTGTGTGACTGGATCCGTCAGCAAAAGGTGATTTCCCCCAGTATCTGTCAGCACGGATACTGGGGGAATGGGGGAAGTAGGAGGCGGGACGTGTGGCTAATGAGAAAGAACTGGGGAACTGGGGGGAAGGGAAGTGTGGCTAGTAGAAGTCCTGCAGGATTGCCTTTCTTCCCCATGTTTTCATCCCCTTATCCGCCCCCTTTCTTCTCCGCTCCTCCCCTTCTCCCCATGTTGCCCTGCTCCCGCTCTCAACCCCTTCTTCTCCGCTAATCTCTGGCCCCTCTCTCCCCCCCCCAATACCAGCTACTTGGCGCCCACCATTATCCATCATGTGCCACTTGACGCGTGCTCTCCCTCATTCCCATCCCCTCCCACGAATTTCCCCGCACCCCTACCCCCAACCCCATCGCCCCCACCATGATCTGCGATGTGCCCCTCGACACGTCTCCCCCTCTCAATCCCACCCACTCCCCTCATCCAACCACCCCACCTTGTCCCCCACCAGCTACATCGCCCCCACCATCATACGAGATGTGCCTCTGGACACTCCTTCCGTGCCCCTCTCGTCCCCTCTCAATCCCTCCCACACGCCCTATCACCCCCTCCTCCCCCCTCCTCCTCCCGGCCAGCTACATCGCCCCCACCGTCATTCGAGATGTGCCTCTGGACGCGCCACTGATGCAGGAGGAGGGATTTGGGCCCGTCATTGCCGTGATTAAGGTGTGTGCATAGGTGCTGTGCGGTGCTGCCAGGTGCGTACAGTGATGCAGGAGGAGTGCTTTGGGCCTATCATCACCATCCTCAAGGTGTGTGCATAGGTGCTGTGTGGTGCTGCCCGGTGCATGCAGTAATGGAGGAGGAATGTGGGCCCATCATCACCGTCCTTTAGGTGTGTGCAGTGCTCCGCTCCGCTCCTGGCCCATCCGCTCCTGGCCCATCCCATCCTGCTCCGCTCCGCTCCTGGCCCATCCCGGCCGGACGTGGCAAGTTCCTTGGTCGCAATTGCGCTGAAGACACTTTACTTACTCTCTCCCACTTCACTTCACGCTGCATCCACTCTCAGAGCGTCCACTCTCAGAGCGTCCACTCTCAGAGCGTCCACCAATTCTCCCTCTGCCCATTGACTTCCAGATGTGAGGTGGGCATGAGGCGGTTGGCACAATCGCCAGCCCCCTCCTTGCATGAGGCGGATGGCACAATCGCCAGCCCCCTCCTTGCATGAGGCGGTTGGCACAATCGCCAGCCCCCTCCTTGCATGAGGCGGTTGGCACAATCGCCAGCCCCCTCCTTGCATGAGGCGGTTGGCACAATCGCCAGCCCCCTCCTTGCATGAGGCGGTTGGCACAATCGCCAGCCCCGTCCTTGCATGAGGCGGTTGGCACAATCGCCAGCCCCCTCCTTGCATGAGGCGGTTGGCACAATCGCCAGCCCCCTCCTTGCATGAGGCGGTTGGCACAATCGCCAGCCCCCTCCTTGCGAGCCCTCTTATTCTCTATTGATATCAGCCCGTCCTCTCTCCCCTTGTAAGTGTGCAGCTACCATAGAGGCGCCTCAAAAGCCCTGCTGTGCAACGTGAGCAAGGCAGTATACATCATCGCCACCTGCCTCCTCCAACCCTCTGTCGCTCTTTATCAGTAGCAGGCCCATCCCCTCTCCCCTCCGGAATAACGTTCCCACCAGGTGCAGGGCATGGGCTAGGCCACAGACCTCGTCTCCAGCCACGCCAAGCCTCTGGCGCTGATTATCGGCATCACATGGTTTCACACCCACCTATCCTCTCTCCCCTCTGCGCAGGCGTCATCCCCCCATCCCACCAGGTGCGAGGTGTGGACGAGGCAATAAGCATCATCGCAAGCCACCTACTCCAACCACATCCGTCTCTAATCATCACTATCACACCCATCCTCCCTCCCCTCGCAAATACGGCTCCCTCCAGGTGCGAGGTGTGGACGAGGCGATAGACATCATCGCCAGCCGGCCCAAGCCACTGGCGCTGTACCTGTTCACAACGCACAGCACCGTGATCGACCGCTTTGTCAAGGAGACCTCGTCGGGAGCTGTCTGTGTCAACGACACCACCTCGCATGTAAGTGTTTTTCCCTTGTGAGAGCAATGTCTAGGATGTAACTTATCGACTGCTTTCTCAAGGAGACCTCCTCGGGAGCTGTCTGCGTCAACGACACCACCTCTCATGTGAGGCACTGCGCCCTTTTGAGACGTCTCAATCGTCTTCTTACCTGCGAATTCTATGTTGAGAGACCAATACAACCAATGCAGGTAAAAGCAATGTAGATACAACTTTTTGACCGCTTTGTCAGTGGGAGGTAAGAGCATGCTTTGTCCAGGATACCTTATCGACGGCTGTCTACATTAACGACACCACCTCGCATGTGATCACTGTCCCGCTCCCTTTGCTTCCCACAGCCCAATGGTCCATTGTTCCCCCCCTTCGTTCTCCCGCTCTCCCACTCTTCGTGTATGAGTGTTCCTGCTTCTGCTCCTTTCGCGCGTTCCTGTGCTCCTGTTTCTGTCTATGTTGTCATTGATCCAACTCACCTCCAAGATCTCCTCAACCACCCAATGCTTTCAATCGCATTACTTGTATTCGCTGTGCAGTTTGTCAATCCCGCGTTGCCATTCGGCGGAGTGGGAGACAGTGGCATGGGCAGCTATCATGGGAAGCATTCGTTTGATTGCTTCAGCCATCGGAAGGCGGTCATGGTGAAAGGCACCCTGCTTGACTTCCCGGTTCGATACCCTCCTGGTAGCCCGTTTAATGAGAACCTTGTGAAAGCGCTCATGAATTTGTGGTTTGTACAGCTAGTTCTAGTAGTTTTAGGCCTGAAAAAGTAGCCTGTATATTTTACAGATTGTTTACAGAGCCGGAATTATGTAAATAGTTGTTTTCCTACCCTCTAGGTTCGCCAGATTTGCATGGTACACTTTGTCCCTCAGGCATCTTCCTTAGGATTTGCGGGGGTTCATAACCGACCAACTGAAACCAATCAAGCATCTTCAATGCAGCCACGTCAGCGTCAAGCCCATATACACCAAGCCAATTTGCCACCACCACTCACGTTGGCGGGAACGATCAACGCGTAACGGCAACGTGGTCAGAGAGAAGCGCAATTTGATTTCCACCAGCTAAATTTGCATTTTTGTCCTGTCTCCTCCGCGTTTCTTGGAAATGGAAAACGTTCTACGGATGTTTTCGTTCAAGTTTGTCATCGTTTGATGGGGCAAGGCACAATAAAATTGTCTTGTCGGGCTGAAGAAACATCTGCTGACCAATCGTTGCCAATGCGGGCAGACCAGCGAAGCAACCAGCCTGTTGAATTCCAGCAAAGTGCCAAATTCGCTCCACTCATTCTGAAATGATCACAGCATTGCTCCTTCTTGACACTTGTTTCTGGCATGTGTGCAGAAAATGTTGCACAGAAACCGGACAGCACTCAGTGCAGCATTCGAGTTTCACTGTTTTTAGCATCAGATTCACAGGGTGACTAATCGACGTTATTAACGGCATCAAATTCGTTCAGTCCCAATTTTTTTTTTTTTTTTTTGCTGTTGGGTGAACCGAGGAGGAAATCAGGCCCCCTTTCTCCATCCCATAGATGGCAGGGCAATATGGGGTTGCCAAGGTGGGCAGTGGACAAGCAATGTCGGGTTGGTCACTCGCGACATGACGAGTTTTGTTGCCATGTCGCCACTGATGCCAGTGGGCAATGAAACGTTGTTCCGACCCTGGAACAACGCTGGACAGTCCAGTCGACACGAGCAACTGCGGAATAGATGTTTGTGCGTGCGATCCCACCCCGTTTCATACAGAATGCTGGCCGACGAGACGACATCCTGCCCGTTTCAGCAGTTCGCGGTTGTGTCAACACCAGGTCGCTGCTGCGAGTCAGAATCGCATGCATAAACAGATGTGGTTTCTCCAGATTTGACACGTAGCCTGCCTGAATAACGAAACTTATGACGTCTTCGGTACGCACAGGACGAATTGGCCGCTCGTTACTTGTTCCGTGAGGAAGGGAGTGAATAAAAGGGGCACGAAACAGGCCGCAAGCAGGTGAAGCTGTGACTGGAAGTTTTTTTCACAAATGTCAGGCGCTGGTTGGGTAAGAATACAAAGTATCCCGCGAGAACCGACCTGCAGCAACAAATTCGAAACCCATGAAATTCTCTGTTCACACCACAATTGACTGTTTTAATTTTCAGGTCTCTGACGATTTCCGTCGTCTGCGCGTTATTCGAAACTTTGACCTTCCCTATAAGGGCTCGCTCCGCGCAAGTCTCAAGCTTCTGAAACGAGGCTTTCAACAGTTGGGAACTCAATGCATCCGAACAAACGATGACACACTGAGTGAGAAGAGTCAACTACATTCGTGCTTCGACAAAAAACTTCCATCTCGAGTGTTGAATACCACTTGAGCAAAGAGTGTTAGGGTGCGCAAACACATGCTTTATGCGAGCAAACAGCTGTCAAACGGGGCTTTGAGGTGTGGATTGCGTGGGCAAGCACAACATGGCAGTTCAGTTCGGCTTCTTCTCATTTTGCTGATTGAAAAGCTTGTCAATGGCAGGCTGTCACTATCGTCGCACCCTTCACTTCAGTAGACCCTGCCGCCTGCGTTCCAGAGGGTCAGACGACCTTTATCCGTCGCCCGCATTGTAGTCTCGAAAGGAAGCGCTTCCAAATTCCGACATATTATGCAACCCTATTTTGAGATTAGCCTTCGTTCCAGAGCACGCCCATTCGCGGCCAGACCTGCTTGGTTGCAAGCAACTGCACATGTCCGTTCCGGCTCGCCTTTACAATAACCGTCGATTCGTGTAGTTCCCTTCACGTCGTTTTCATCAGGTGAGCTCCATTCACGGGATTCTTCGCCGCATTGCGTGCTACGAGCCGCCTCGCACTAGCTGCTTCTCGCCTTTCTTCAAAATACGCTGACGCTGCATTGCGAGACTGGTATCACCTCCTGTTGCCTTTTTAGTCAACTCAAAAGTCGACTAGCATCGCCTCCTGTTGCCACCGTATTCGCCGTAACCGCCTCGTTTCTCCATGGCCTCGCAACAAGGCAACGCACCGCTTTCGCCAACGCGCGCGATGTCGCCGAAGCAGCAGGTACAGTCGCACAACCAGCTCGTCGCACGGCTCCAGTCGCCCTCCGCCGACCCCTCCACCCTTCCGCCCTCCTTCCTCAAATACCCCATCTCGCATCTCCGCGCCAAGAATGTCACCATCCCCGCGGATTTTTTCTGCCCCATTTCGCTCGACATCATGCGCGACCCGGTCACCGTCGCGTCGGGGCGGACCTACGAGCGCGCCGAAATCGAGCGATGGTTTCGCGAAGGAAATCGCTACTGTCCGGTTACCCGCTGCGCGCTCGAGGAGCTGCATGTCGCCCCCAACAAATCCCTTCGCAGCATCATTTCCGCCTGGTGCCTCGGGCATGGCATTCGCCTCTCTGCTACCCCCTCCGCCGCCGTCGGCGGCGGCGGGGGCGGCGGCGGTGGAGGTGGGCACGCGAAGGGGGGCAGCGGAGAACTTACTCAGAATGCCGCTGGCGGAAAGCCTGGCGGCGACGCGGGCTCCGCGCATCCCACCATCTCCCCGCGCGGGGTGCTGACTCCCCGCAGCGACTCCTACACTGGCCGCGGAGAGCAAGCCCCGCGCGCGGAGCGTTCCGCCTCGCGCGGCGAGTCGTATCCCGCGCGGCCCCTGACCGGGGACAGTTACGAGGCATCTCAAAGGTCCGCGCGCCCGCTGTCGGGGGAGCGCCACGCGGAGCCTTACTCCGCCTGCCCAGCCTCGGGGGAGCGGCACCAGCGGCGCGGAAGCGTGTCATCCGACCGGGAAAGCGGAAACCTCAGCAGCGGCGGAAGCAGCACCACCAGCGGCGCAAGCAGCGGCAGCATCAGCCTCGTGTCGAACAGCAGCGCCAGCAGCGGCGGGGGCGGCGGGAGAGCAGGCGGAGGGGGAGGCGGAACCGGAACCGGCGGAAATAATTTCTGGCGCAGCGCGTCGTCTTCCGATCGTCCGCTTTGCCCCATCTGGCCCGTGTCGTCCCCGCTCGCCTCCCCCACGCACTCCCCCACCCGCGCCGGCGCGGCTCTCAGTCCCTCCTCCGCCTTACCCGGCGGCGGTAGCAGCAACCCCCTGCTTAGCCCCACGCATCCCGGCTTTAGTCCGACTTACCCCGCTGTTAGTCCGACGCACCGCGGCGCCGCGCACAGCCCCACTAGCTCCATGCAGCTGAGCCCCACGCGCGCGCCGCTCAGCCCGCTGCCCGCGTATCTCGGCGCGGGCGACGGCGCGCACGACTCGTGGAACGACTGGAACCACTACCCGGGCCGCGACGAGTGGAGCGGCCCGCAGCCGCGCCGCGTCGACTGGTCCGGGCCGCAGCCGCGCCAAGCGTCGCGGACCGGCGGGGCTGCGGCAGCGGGGGGAGGCCGGACGGGGTCAGGAGGAGGGGGAGCGGGAGGGGGGAAATCGGCCGGCGGGAAAGTGGGGCCCAGCGGGCGGGGGGCTCTAGGGCCGGCGGGTGGGGGAATTGGCGGAGCAGGTGCGCGGGCGGGGGCCCAGGGGGGCGCGGGGGGCGTCGGGGGCGGCGGAAGCAGCCAGCAGCAGCAGGTGGTGGCGGCGGCGCAGCAGCGGTTCTTCTCGGAGCGGCTCGACCGACACCAGCTGGCGCTGCTGGCGGCGTGGGACGACGACAGCGACGCGGAGGGCGGCGGCGGCGGGAGAGAGGGGGAGCGGGAGCGGGTGAGAGAGAGGGAAAGGGAGCGCGAGCGGGAACGGGAGAGGGAGCGGGAGAGGAGCAGCCAGCAGGTTTTGGCGTATTTGGCGCACAGCAGGAGCGGCAGCAGCGGCGGCGGCGGCGGCGGCGGCGGTAGCGGGGGAGGAGGGGGAGGGGGCGGGCGGAACGCGCTGAGCAATGCGGGGAAGAGCTACAGCGTGGGCGAGCCCGTGTCGCTCGTCCCCAGCTCCGCGCCAATGGCTGTTGGCGGCGCTGGCGCTGCTGCAAGCAGAGACGCTAGAATCGCGTATGGCAGGTCGGTCTCGTCGAACCGCCTCTCCTCGCCGCAACTTGCGGGGATCAGCAGCAGCGGCGCTGCTGGTAGCGGCGCTGGGGGGGGCGGGGGAGGGCACGCGGCGCGCAGTGCGCGGGGCGGGGAGGGCATTCGGCAGACGCACCACTCGCACAGCCACAGCCACTCGTCGCTCTCCGCGTTCGCCTCCCCCCTCACTGCTGCCGCCGCCGCCGTCACGTTTGGCGCCAGTCCCCCCCCCAACCCAAACTCACATCTGAATCTGAATCTGAATCCAGGTGTAGATCCGGATCTGAATCCGAATCTGAATGCCAGCGCGGCGGTCATGATGCTGGGGAGCAGGGGCGGCGGGGGGTCGGTGGGGTGCGCGCCCATGGGCGCGCGGGGGGAGGGGGAAGGGGAGGAGGGGGAGGACGGGGAGGAGGAGGAGGAGGAGGATGGCGCAACAGGGACGCTTAAGCGGTGGGCTACTAACCCCACTGATAGGTCTGGTGGCTGTATGAGCAGCAGTGGCAGTGTGGGCGGCAGTGGCAGTGTGGGTGGCAGCAGCAACAGGAGGCCGTGCAGTGGAGGAGCGGGTGAACCAGGCTCGGCGGTCTCCGAAGCAGATGCTGCTGCGGCTCGGGCGGACCAGGAGGAACAGGTTCGGGCCAGGCTTCCGGACCTAATTCGGCAAATGCTAGGTGGCAGTGCGAGCGGCAGCAGCACCAGCACCGAGGCGCCCTCAACGTTCCTAACCATACAGCGGCGCAGGGCAGCCGAGGAGGTTCGGCACCTGGTCCGGGACTCCCGAGGCAATCGGGCAGCCGTGGTGGCAGCAGCGGGAGGGCGAGCCATCCCGGCCCTGCTCTCTCTCTTCCAATGCGGCGATCCCGATACTGTAGAGCACGCGGTTACCGCCATTCTCAACCTCTCCCTCTCCTCCTCCACTCACTCCCATCTCATCTCCCACGGCGCTGTCCCCCGTCTCGTGACTATCGTGACAGCTGGCAACAGAGACACGGGCATGAACGCCGGGGCGGCAGACCCGGACATGCCGCCGAGCCTCTCGCCTCGCTCCGTCTCCCGAACCGCCCGCGAGAACGCCGCTGCGGCCCTCTTTGCGATCTCGGCGTCGTCCGAAACGAATAAGATCCTCGTAGGGTCGACGCCAGGTGCCGTCACGGGATTGGTCGCCATGCTCGCCGTCTCCTCCTCCCCCTCCGGCTCCCCCAACTCCATCCGCAGCCGAAAAGACGCCGCCCTCACCCTCTTCAACCTCTCATTGGCCGAGAAAAACCGGGCAGCAATAATTTCCGCCGGGGCAGTTCCCCTATTGGTGGAGATGCTGCAGGAGTACGGGTCCGGGCTGGAGGAAAAGGCTACCGCTGTGCTGGTGAACCTGGGGAAAACCGGGCGGCTGGGGCGGGCAGCGATCCGGGCGGCGGGCGGGATACCGCTATTGGTGGAGGCGATGGAGTGTGGGTCGGAGAGGGGGAAAGAGGACGCGGTGGCGGCGCTGCTGATGCTGGCTGAGGACCCCGCATTGAGGGATGAGATTGCTGCTGAGGGGGTGCTTCCGACTCTGGGGGTGCTGCAGAGGTGTGGCACTCCAAGGGCACGAGTGAAGGTGAGCACTCCAAGGGCACGAGTGAAGGTGAGTTGCTGTTGATCAAGGGGGGTGCGCAAGGGCACTGCAGGGGAAGGGTACTAGTGGGGAAAGAGAAGGTGAGTTGAGGTGGAGGCGATGGAGTGCGGGTCGGAGAGAGGGAAAGAGGACGCGGCGGCGGCGCTGAGAGATGTGATTGCTGCTGAGGGGGTGCTTCCGACTCTTGGGGCGCTGCAGCGCTGTGGCACACCGCGAGCGCGAGTGAAGGTGAGTGTTTGATGGGGAGGGGCGGGTGTGGGGAAGGGTGCTGATGCTGGATGAGGACCCGGCGCAGCGAGATGAGATTGTTGGGGAGGGCGCTCTGCCGACGACTCTAGGGATGAGATTGTTGCAGCGCAGCGCTGTGGCACTCCGTGTTCGAGGTGAGTGGCTGACAGGGGGGAAAGAATCCTTGTAAACAAGCATGTACAAGGATTTGTTTTCTACACAACACACTAACCTACTCAGGTGTTTTAACCAACCAGGTACTTGCTGCCACGTATTGAACCATGGCTCCTATCTGGGGCTGGATTTGCACTCCGTGTGCGAGGTAAGTGGCTGATAGGGGGGAAAGGGGGAGGGTGCTGATGCTGATGCTGGCGGAGGACCTAGCGTTGAGGGGGTGCTGCTGAGCCGACACTGGGTGCTCTGCAGGGGAACGGTGTGACACGCCCCGAGCGCGAGTGAAGGAGAGTGGTTGATGAGAGGGGTGGGCGTGGGGGTGGGTAAAGGTGCTGATGCTGCTGCTGATGCAGGTGAACTGAGAATTCCTCAAAATCCACCTGCAAAGTGAAGGAGAGTTGAGGTGGAGGAGGGTGAGGTGAGGGAAACAGGGCGTGTAGCAGGGCGGCTGTGCTGTGAGTAAATGTCCTCTTTGGAATGAAGGGTGTGTGCTGTGAGTAAATGTCCTCTTTGGAATGAAGGGTGTGTGCTGTGAGTAAATGTCCTCTTTGGAATGAAGGGTGTGTGCTGTGAGTAAATGTCCTCTTTGGAATGAAGGGTGTGTGCTGTGAGTAAATGTCCTCTTTGGAATGAAGGGTGTGTGCTGTGAGTAAATGTCCTCTTTGGAATGAAGGGTGTGTGCTGCCCACTGCCCACGCTGGGTGCTCTGCAGCGCTGTGGGTCGCCCAGAGTGAAGGTGAGAGGGGGTGTGCAGGTAGGGTGGGTGTGGGCAGGGTGGGCAGGGAGATGTGTGGCTTGGGTACGCCCACGCTGGTGCCACTATAAGAGCACGAGTGAAGGTGAGAGGGGGTGTGCAGGTAGCGCGGGTGAATGGGGCAGGGAGATGTGTGGCTTGAGTATGCATACGCTGGTGGCTCAGCAGCAATGTGGGGGCATCAACACTTCCTTACACATCGTTTGTACAACCAAACAACCCATGGCTTAACCTAAACAGCAGCGGTTGTTGCTGCCACGTAATGTCACGGCACCTACATTCATTCATGGGGGGCACATGCGGTGACTTTTTGAGTCAGCTCAGAAGTGGGTGAAGGTGGGAGATGAGATTGTTGGTTCGTTTGCCGGAGAGAGGAGGATTGAGGAGGACTCTGGCACTATGTGGCAGAAACTCTGGCACTCTGGCACTCTGACACTATGTGGCTGGTTTCTGTTACCTTTGCGAGAGTCAGTGTCACAGCATGCTGCCACTCCCCGATATGACCACTGTTGAATGAGTGGGCCATTTGCCAGAAAGAATGGGAAAGGGGAATGCTTCAAGGAATGCGCAAGGGGAATGGGTGGCGGGAGGGGCAAGGGGGAATGGATGAAGAGAGGGGTTGGGCAAGCGGGAATGGAGAAAAAGGAATGGGGAAAGGGGAATGGGTGGGGGGCTGGGCAAGGGGAAACGGGTGGTGGGGTGGGCAAAGGGGAATGGATGGGGGGATGGGCAAGGGGGGTTAGGCGAGGGGATTGGGTGGGGGAATGGGTAGAGGAAGGAATGAGCAAGGGAAAATTGGCAAAGGGGAATGTGTGGGGGAATGAACAAGGGGGAATGGGCAAAGGGGAATGTGTGAGTTGTGATTGAAGTTAGTAGAAGGTTAACTGTTGCAGTCAGACGAACGACAGAAAGAGGTCTTGAAAAGGTATGAAATGAAAGAAGTCAGGGCCGTGTAGGATAAGGGACGGTAGGAACGGGTGGGACGATGTGAGATGAGGGGAATAGAGGATGAGGGGAAAAGAGGACGAGGGGAAAACAGGATGAGGGGAAAACATGACGAGGGGAAAATGGACGAGGGGAAAACAGGATGAGGGGAAAACATGACGAGGGGAAAACAGGACGAGGGGAATAAAGAGCAGGGAGAATCGAGGATGAAGGGAATAGAGCATGAGATGGAGATGAGGCATCTGTTCTGCAACAGCTTGGTCATACGGATTGCCACCACTTAGGCGTCCTCCCTTGCACTTCCCACTCATTCACTCTCGAGCCAACCCTCCCACTCCTTCCCCCCCCCACCCACCTCTCCACCCCTCTCCCATGTGTCACACTGTGTTGTAACATGCAGGCGGCACGGCTACTGGCCATGTTTCGAGCCAAGGACTACTGAGTCAACGCTGAGTCACACTATGTCATCACTGCATCACCGCAACACAATGTCAGCTCAACTGGTCGAACTGCAAACCCCAACCTGCCGACCTGCTGACACCTCTGTGTCTTCACAGCCCCCCTGTGTGGTCAACTCAACACTGGACCTCCCTCCCTCCCACTGGCAAGCTGCAACATCTGCTGCCTGCCCTGAGATTCGCACGTTCTCGAGTGGCTGTGCTTGGCCGAGTGTGCCCCAGTGGCATGGAGAGTGACAATGACAGTCTGGCTGGAGGCTGGGCAGGCAGGCAGGAGACTTTTGAGTCGACTCAAAAGTCACTTCACTGCGTGGCCCAGAGGCATGGAGAGTGACGATGACAGTATGGAGGCTGGGCAGGCAAGCACCACAAGCAGCTGCCTTCACCGGCAGAGAACTTCCTCACGCTGTGCCTTGAGCTGGCGTGTTGCGTACCTGCAGTGGCATGGATGGCATAGCACGGATGGCATGGGATGGGTGGCATGGGAGGGGTGGGATGGTGTGTGTAGGACAGATAGCACAAGATGTATGAATGGTTACCGTCATCGCCCGGATATAAGACAGTGTCGAATTGAAGACAGGGGGTGTCGTTAAAACGGGTGTTTCTTACAGATGGGTGTTCTTGATTATAAGACAACTGTCGGTGTGTACGAGTTAAGCCAGTATAGGGGTTAGGGGCAATCTTATGACGAGGGGGTATCTTCTAAACGGGTTTTTGTCCATTTATAAGAATTATAAGGCACCTTAAACCGTCCCAATTACAAGACACAGCAAGCTTTTTTTCTAATGTATAAGATAAGACATATATGTCTTCTATCCGGGCGATGACGGTAATGACGATACTGCAGCTGCCATGGCACATGATATGATACTGACATGGCTGCTTATGAAACCTGATCTTGTTTATCAGATGAACATTGAAGTAGGTGCCTGGTCGTACTTCTGTCTTGCTCTAGGCATGGACTCATGGATGCTGGGTTGCTGGCTGTTACGAATAGTAATGACTGAACATCACAAGTGCACTCCTCACCGCAGCTAAGGAAACATGCAGTAACGAGAACGAATGCGAGGAGTCGGAATTGACTCGAAACGTCAGACGGTTAGCATGGATCTGGACCGTCGGAGCAGACGGCATCAAGCAGCTGCAGTCAGGAGGAATTGGGCAGGAACAGTTTTCGTAACTGTACGCGCCACACGGTTGGGAATGAATTTGAATAAGAGAATGTACCCCTTAGAGTACATGGCTAGCTAGGTCGATTCACATTCCCCTGTACTCTTATTTATATCGCTGTATTTGCATGTTTTAATTCATCTCAAGCATCTTACATTCACTCTGCTATTGAGGTCAAGGGCCCACCGAGTCGACCTATCTGCGTGCGAACATTCCTGAGAAGATCCTGGCAGCGATCATCTCTTGATCGCAGCATGGTATGAGAGCGGCTCAGGAATCCTTCGCACTGCCACTCCCGAAATCTATGACATTCGGATAGTGGCGTCCGGCACACGCTCGCGTGTGAGAATGGCCGGAGGATCTGGTGGTCAGACTAATCTGACGGCTGAAGCGCAAACCAACCCAGTTGCGACAAGCGAGGAGACGACGACAATCCCTTCCGAAGTCCTCGCACAACTCCTTCAGCGACTCACCAGCCTGGAGCAAGGGCTCCAAACATTGCGGAACGGCGACGCGGGAACCTCCTCGCAACCCACTCAACCGGCTCCAACCAGCCAGAACGCCGCCCCGCACACTTTCTCTCTCGACACAAATGGCTCAACCCCCAAGACTCCCCGTCCCAGTGAAGAGGCAATTCTCTCTGCGCAATCAAGGTTTCTCAGCATATCAAAAATAAAGACAAGCGTGTGCTTTGACGGCAGAGACTTCTATACCTGGAGCTTCGAGCTGGAGCTCCTGCTGCAAAACGCTCAGATTTTTCACTATTTCAACGGGAGTTACGCGGAGCCTGCTGAGGATACCGACGACGCCAGGACAAGGTACTACAACGAGTCCTTGATGGCGTACGGCATCCTCCTTCGCAACATGTCGCCGGCGGAGCAGTTGAACATTCGTTCATACAAGACATCGGCTGCTCCAGCCCTCGACGCTTGGCGCCACCTGAATGGCGTGTATCAGCCGAAGGGCTCTGTCTCTTCGAGCCGGTTACTCCAGCAGCTGCTGGAAACTAAAATGGCCCCGGGGGAGAAGGCCAACTATTACATCAATCGCTGTCGGAGCCTTCGCGACCAAATCGCGAAGCTGGGAAGCTCAATTTCGGAGGAAATTTTCGTTAATATCGTGCTTCAAGGGCTCGGCCCAGAGTGGCGGCCCTGCAAGGCGCTTCTCCGACAGCAGGGGGTCATCTCGGAGGCCGCCCTTTGCGCCGCCCTTCTCGTCGAACAACGGGATATGGATCAGCAGCGACCAGCGCCACGACGAGAACGTGAACGGCTCGCCTTCTACGCCGACAACAACGAAGAGCGAAGGCCGCGGCGCCTCTACTGCAAAATTTGCAGAAACTTTGGGCACCTGGCGGATCGATGTAAATTCCGATCTCGCCCTCGCCAAACCAATCCGAGCAACTGGTCCGGCCGACAAGATGCACGAGGCGACGTGCGTCCAGCCCAGGGGTATCAACCCCCACACGCGCGCAACCTGAACCCAGCGGTTCAGCATCAGCAGCAGCAGCCGTCAACGTCTGCCTCAGTACGCAACGTCATGAGCAACATGGCCATGACGAGCGAGTCGCGTCGTCGCCGCGTGCGCTCACCTTCACCTGAGCCAGCACCGCACCCCATCGGCGCGTTCTCCAACAATAATCCGTTCAGTCCGCGCCACGACTACATCGACGACAACGAACAGGACTGGAACCTTCCAGTTCCGCTGCTTGAAAGTCCCCCGCATGTACTTGATATGCGGGTGGCGCCACTCGACTGGCTCTCGCGCGAGCAATTTCTGAAGTTCGACACTCCGCACATCGTCACGCCGCGACTGGCGCTGCTCGCACGTGACGACAGGAAGCACTACAATGCCTGGTACCTGGAAAGCTGTTGCGGCCAGCACATGGTGGGCTCGGAGCGTTACATATCCAACGCCGTCGCCACCCCCACTATCACCTACGTCACCGTGGCTAACAACATTCGCATGCGCGCAAGCGCGCAAGGCATCGTCGTGCTCAAGGCACGCGGAAGCCGCACGCACATCACGCTCAACGATGTGCTGATCGTCCAGAACCTACGCTTCAACCTCCTTTCCGCCGCACAGCTCATGGACTGCGGCGTCGACCTCAGCACGTATCGCGCGACGCGCGACATTCTGCTGCACTATGAATCAAGGACCTTCCCCCGCAGGCAGATCGGCAGAGCGCACTCCGAAAATGGAGTGTACGTCTTGGATTTCGACATTCCCGACTGCAGCGGCGATTCACACGAGTTAATCGACCTCGTGCCACTGCGCTTCGAGCACATTCACCACAAGGACTGGAAGCACCCTGACGGAAGACCGTGGGTGCCGCATCACCCCCACCCACGCAAAGTAGCATTGCATGACCCTGACGCAGACGGCATCTGCAGGGACTGCCACACGCCAATGGCGTCGACCAGCGCAATTGCCGGCCGCGGACTCGCCACCATTTCCGAAGACGAGCACCACGCACCGCCAGAAGAAGGAATGTCACAGCTGGAACTAGAAGTTACCACCCAGCGTGTCTTCGGCATCGACCAAAGCCCCCACGCTGGACCACCCTCTCAGCGCCTCGACGGCATTTTGCGCGGACAGCGCCGCGGAACCTTCGACGCACGTGGAGTCGCGCGCCCTTACACCCGCGACGAGTTTCTGAAGGTCTACCCCCTCTGGCGCGATCCTACGACAAAACTTACCGTGGAACAGGAGGAAGAAAATGCGCGTCGCGAAGCAGAGGAGCTTCGCCGACAAAGCCTTGCCGAAGCACGTGGGACATTCGCCTGCGGTGCATGGGGAGCCGAGGACGAGGAAAGCGCCTCCAATGAAGGGGGGTGGGGAAGCACTAGCGGATGGGGAACGAGTGACACCGGCGGATGGGGAAACACCGGTGGAACCTGGGCCACCGCAAGCGGCGGATGGGGCACCACTGGCAACGACGGAAGCGACTGGGGGACTTCCCGCGAAGAACAAAGGGGGGGAGAAGACGCTGAAGCAACACCTGCCGTTGTTCCCCTTGGTCGTCCCCCTCGCCGTACTCCACCCGCGTTACCTCCACCTGACAACCCGCCGCATCACGACCCCTGGGACACCATCGACTGGGGCAACGAACCGTCAACTCCGCGCCGCACCGTCTATGGACCTGCTCCCGAGTCGCGCGCACCGACCTTCTTCCCTGGAACCATCCCTGGGACTAACATTCCCCTCTCTGAGATTCGCGACAAAGAGTTTCTGGCGCTAATGCTGACTACCGCCAACGACGAAGATGAAGCAACAGAAGAAGCACCAGCAGCA